TCAGGTTACATAGCTTCAGGTTACATATGCTTCAGGATACAGACTCCGCTAACCCAGAAATAGTGCTTCAGGTTAAGAACTTTGCTTCAGGTTAAGAACAGTTTCAGGTTAAGTACAGACCCCCGGAACAAATTAAGTACTTAACCCGAGGTACCACTGTACATGGTATTTATATTGCTGGAAATTCCAATGTGCTGCAGCAGCAGTTCCCGACCTGTGGGTTGTAAATTACATTATTTACTTATTTGTTAAATTTGTATACCGGCCTTTATCTGCAGATCTCAGGACGCTTCACAACATGAAAATACAAGATAACAGCACAAAATACACGATCAAAGAACAAAGAAAAAAACACAAACCAATAACCCCGCTCCCACAAACAACATTTAAAAGGGTATAGGATGTTAAACAGCCAAAGGCCTAGCTGAAGAGGAATGTTTTCGCCTGGCGCCTAAAGGCGTATCATGAGGGCACCAGCCTGTGCAGTTGGTCTCAAGCTTTATGACCAAACCCATAATAATTATTGCTTGTAATCCTTAGCTGGCTTGATGAAAACATCTTACAACTTTTTGTTTCATTGGCCTATTATAATGCTGCGATGACACTTGTAACCGAACGTTGGGAAACTTCATGTTTGGGCAAGTCTTTGCGGTGAATTTATACTGACTTACAACTTGGGAACCACCCTCTGGTGGCTGGCAGCAGAGAAGACCTAAGGCCCAAATTTCATGCAACAATAAATGGATGGGTCGCAATACCAATTAAATTTGGTGGGTTGGGAGCCATGGTGCTACAGCAATCAGGTCTGCCACGTTAACTGTGGATCTCAAAGCAATACATACTAAATATGGAAAACTAAAACATGCACACACACATGTGGACTGTAGCCTAGCAACCCACAGTAACATGTGCAGAAAGACTCAGGATATAGTAAGAGATTTGGAGAAGCTATGTGTCCACTGTACAAAAGCAACAGGGTTATGCAGTATGTTTGCCATGAAGCATACATTGATATTTTTTTTCCCTTTATGCCCGCAAAACCAGGAAACTGAGGTTCTCAAAACAAACTTAGCTTCCCATTTCCCACAAGGTCTACTGAACAATAGGATCATTCATGAGTGGCAAAGGGCTGCAAGATCACCTTGATTGCCTTGTGCAGCACTACCATATTAATATGGCTTTAAGAAATACAGTGTCAATCCTTTCCCATAAACACACACCCAATCTTCTCTTAGAACCATAATGATCAGAACCGCAGAAGAAACCATTAAAACAAACAAGTACTCCTGCTGGGCTCTCCAGGCTTGCAGATATCTGCCCGAAGCCCGGGGTGCGCCCCGCTGCGCTCCCTGGGTTTTGGGCTGCAGGCTGCTGTCTGCAAGCCTTGGGAGCCCGGCGGGAACTCCTGCCGGGCTCCCAAGGCTTGCGGATAGCTTCCTGAAGCCTGCAGAGCGAGAGGGGTCAGTGCGCACCGACCCCTCTCGCTCTCCAGGCTTCAGCGAAAGCCTGCATTCACCCCATAGGATGCACACACATTTCCCCTTCATTTTTGGAGGGGAAAATTGTGTCCTATAGGGCGAAAAATACGGTAACTCAGGACACACTGCACCAGGGACTTCTCTTGCTGAAACCCCACTAAAATGAATTATAGCTCTGGGAGGAGAAAGTGACAGTTCCCAGGATTCTTGAGGGGGGGTGTCATGTGCTTTAAATGTGTGCTCAATGTGCTTTACATGTGTGGTGTAGATCTTCTCTTAGAATGAAGTTCAAATGTACTTTCATGCTTACAGCTATAGATGCATTTACTGCAAGGATGGGGGAGCTGTGACCCTCCAAAGGTTGTTGCAAACCCACTCCTCTCATCCCTGACCACTGGTCATGCTGGCTGGGATGAATGGGAGCATCTGGAGGATGAAAGATTTCCCATCCTTGTTTTACTGCTTAAATCAAATAGAAATGGAAAAAAGCATTAAGGGGACCAAATGGTGTGCTTTGCTGTTATTGCAGAAAAGCTTTTAGCATCACATTTCGCAATTACAACACACACACACACACACACACACACACACACACAAACAGAGCACCACCGCAGTTTGCTTTTTTGACTCGGCAAATGTCCAAAGTGCTAGAAAAAGAATTCCTGGTACCTATCAACAGTTCTTGGAAACAGATAAGAGAGGAGGCTATTCTTGATTCAGATCTAAGCAGCACACAGGTGTTACTTCAGGAAGTACATTTGGTTGAGCCACAGATGCAAACAAAAACCCCATCCTAGCGCAAGCGGCTCTGACAGCCTCATGTTCTGTCAGTCAGGTAAGCTGAGAACAGGAAATGTGCAAGATGTTCAGTACAAAGCCTAATAAACCATAATTAGGGTGTTTCTGCAAACCCAGCGTCCTGTTATATAAAATATTCCTAGCGCACACACACAAACGCTGGCCAGTGTGAGAGATATTTTATGGTGAGTTCAATCTCCTGAATTTGCAGCCAAAATCTTGGGTATGCTATCATAGGCATCACTAGGGACAGACTAGCAGGGGCAAATAAAGGACCCCAGTTCACCTGGCGACCCTTCCATAACTGGGATGGTGGGGCATGGTCCTTTGGAGAAGAGAGGTAATGGGGCTATTGTTTACCTTAAATCCAGAACAGTCCGTGATGCATCCTCTGTATGCACTCTCATCAGTCCCAGCCAGCTTGTGACTCTTAAGTACTCATAAATACTTGGTGGGAAAACAAGTCAGATGAATAAACCAGTCCACAAAAGCTTATGCCATAAAAAGGTGTTGCTCTTTAAGCTACCACAAGATTCTTTGCAGTTTTCACTGCAACAGACTAACACGACTACCCTCTTAATGTTGTTAGTTCAGGGAAACATAAATAAGAAATTATTTTCCTTCCTGAACTATATTAGTTCCACATCTAAAGTGTTTCATTCAAATCCGCCTTCACTGGCATTGATTGCAGCTTTGGATGGGGACGCCATGGGATGGACTATCTGCAAATCCAAAGTCTAATCTTGAGTGCCTGAGGATTTTGTTCACTCTGTCACTTGTTCACACTGACTGAGCAGAATTGGCCTTACCTGATATATCCTGTTGGACTAACGGACTAACACAGAGATTGGAAGGCAGTTGTCCTTTGGTTTATTGCAGGCTTCCTCAACCTCGGCCCTCCAGATGTTATTGGCCTACAACTCCCATGATCCCTAGCTAGCAGGACCAGGGGTCAGGGATGATGGGAATTGTAGTCTCAAAACATCTGGAGGGCCGAGATTGAGGAAGCCTGGTTTAGTGCTTTTGCAAATTTTCTGCTACAATTTTTGGCTCAAATAAGTTCCAAAAAGTCATGTAAAAATGCATATTTTTACATAAAAAGTGTATTTTAGTGCAAATGAGCATAACAATGCACGTTTTAAGCTACACTTAAAATATGTATTTTGTGAAATTTATGAATAAAAATAATGCAGATTTCTGTCTGTGGGTTGTTTTCTGAATCACAAACCAATGATGGATTTATGAGCACCTACAAAACTGACAGGACTGCCAACAGACTAGTCCATTTATTCTGAGATGTTGCTGCAGGTTCTCCTCTGCTCATTTCTCTGGGGAGCTTCTCCCATATTGGAGAAAGTCCCAATGCCATTATATCATCATTATCATTCTTGATTATGATTATTTTGTCGGATATTTTGTTGGCAGTGAGTCAGCATGTTTCAGACTGGAATCAAAAACGTAATGGTGGGGTGTTTTTTTTCTCTCCTTGCCTTTCCGCAAACTGTTTGGTAGTCAGTTGTGGATCAGAAATGACTGCTGCAGTTAACATTTTCTGAGGATGCCATCTGGCATCTATCAAGGGCACAGCAGTCATATTCTCTTAGGGCCACTTTGCACTGAGACAAATCTCCTGCATCGTTTAGGAAATGGCACAAACCCCATGTGCAATTTGTCATTTCACATGGGGTGAACTATGTGGGGCGGGTCATGCAGTTGAAACAACTTAATGGATAGAAAAGACAATCTTGTACTAAGCTACCCTCATTTGAGAAAGGAAGAAAGCGCAGGGAGAGCTTTCTAGTTTAGGAAGATACAATGCTAGTTCGTTTTAAACAGAACTCTGTTCCAGCTGTGCCTGGAGACACCTGGAATTCAACTTGGGATGTTCTGCAAACAATGCAGATGTTCTACCACTGAGATACTGTACAGCCCTTCCCCAAAGGGAAATGAATTTGCATAAACTCAATGTGATAGTGGGAGATGCAAGTATTTAAATGCCCCCCCCAAGGTTACGGCCATCATCCACCTAGCAGTGGCAGACGTTGGGCTCTCAAATTTCAGTGGTGCCCTGTGTGATGCTAAAATTTGGTGTCCCTCCTACCTCCCATGCTGCACTCTCCATCATTGCTGTGGCGCCCCCTGCGATGCCAAACCGGTTGTGCCACCCTAAAACTAACTCTGAATCTGGTGCTTCCACTGCCCATGCTGCCCCAACCCAGTCTCAGCAATCAGCAATCAGTGTCAATGGTTCAGGCAGGAGAGCAGCTGCAAAAAGATACCCCTTTGGGCTAAGAAAGGGTCCTGCATTCCTCACCCACACCCATGTCCGTTGTTAAGAACAAACCCACTCAAGCCACTTGTTTTTTTATATGATTGCGCAAGATCCATGCTTAATCACAAGGTACTGCTGCTGTCATGCCTCACAGAGTTGGTCCAAGACAATTTGGTGCCTGAGATGAAGGATTGGTGCCCTCTTCCATTCCAAGTATCAAAGGTGGACCAGACTAGAAGTTGAATCTGGCTGGATGAGGGAGTGCAGAACAGGCCACAGGGCATGCACAGCTCCACTTACATGCCACATCCTCCCCACATTTCACCTGAGGCAGCTGCCTCACTCTGTCTCATGATAGGACCACCCTTAATATCTCTTTTGGCGCTTAGAAGCAAGAATTTTAGAGGGCATTTAAGGTTGGATAAGGTTCCAGATTACCCATAACGTATGAGGGCTGAAGGGAGTAATGATGACTAACCATACAACTCAAGACAAGGCATCCATTCTGTTGCTTTTCTTGGAAGGGAGTGGTCTTGATCCACCATGCGCTACTCCCACATTCGTGCTGTAGAGCTCAATGGGGGAAACCAGGGGGGCAGGTGTTGCCTTTGGCAGATTTAACATCTTCTGATGCTGCTCCTGCAAAACCCAGACAAACATGGACAAAAACATTACCTAAGCAGATCACGCTCCCAGAAATGTTCTTCTTGATTACTCATCCTAGGTTTTCCTTTGCACAGTGTCATCCCATTAATTACAGCCTCTTGGAGTACTAAATAATTTCTCATCTTCTCATTTATCTGATCCATGCACATCTCCCCTTTTTTTCATCCTTCCTGGCAGACTGGTCCTCAGGGCAAAACTACACGGGATGCTCCATCACGACTCTGCCTTCTTCTTTCCCCCCAAAATGGGGTCACAGGGGCTGCATCGTGCCTCAGGAGAAGGTCTTCTTAATCCTCCCTGCTGGCATTTCTTCTGCTAAAAACCTCATCCCAGCTGCTTTTCCTCCCATGAAGTAGTGATCCTTTTGCCAGAGGGTGAGGGTTAAGAAGCTCCTTCCCTGCCAGTGTTCCAGAACAGATTGCAGCCTCCTTGGATGCAATCTGTAAGAGAAGAAAATGGGGGTGGGAGGGACCATACACAAATAGCTTGGCCCTCCGCTTTCAGGTTTCATCAGCAGAGAACAGGAGGGACCACATCATCAATGACAGAGGTGCTGCCAGGCCCCACAAAATTCAAACTAGGGCCCCTGTGGCAATTCCTTTCTACTCACACCACTAGCTGAAGGAAAGAACTGCAAGCAGTTCAAACCATGGGTCTTAACACCACACATCAGAATACCCTGCTAGTTTAGGGAATGGACACCAGCTTGCGAGAGTGATGGGGGGGAGGGGCAACTGTGTGTGTGTGTGTGTGTGTGTGTGTGTGTGTGTGAAGTCACACATGTACAATGTCCTGACATTCAGTTTGTGACATCATGAGGAACCGGGGGTGGAGCCGAACACAGCAGCCACACAGCTTCAATGGCCGGCAGCTTCATGCTTCATCTACGTGCTTATAGGGCATTGAGGGGACCCAGGCTCTACCCCAAAAATATTGAGGGGGGGATGAAAAGGGCTCTGTCCCCAGGAGCTGGCACCCTGGACAAGCCCATTCTTTATAGTTCTCAGACGGTAGTACACCTCAGTCTGCTTTTGAGGGAAGCCACTAGGCTGTCTCTCTACCTGCTAGCAACTTACCCACCTGCCTATTGTTCCCTCTGCTCCAGATCCTTGCCACCTCTCCAGCTGTTGTGGCCTGGACCTGACAAGCGCCTAGGAAAATGAAACTGAAGAGCTTAGCGTAATTATCCCCCTACTAAAGAGGTGAGGGCCCAGCCTCTGGGCTGAATTAGGCCAGCCAGGACTTCCCATTTGGCTCTCAAGGCCATTTGGTCAAGCCACACCCACTCACCACATATGATGTCAGCTGTGGGGCAGGTAAAGATCTGGCTCAGTTGCAAAGCCATGTGCATATCACAGCCCCCTGCTCAATATTAGGCAACATTCACACCATATATTTAAATCACTGTGATACCACTTGAAACAGTCATGCCTTCCCTCTAATAATTCTGAGAGCTGTGGTTTGTAAGGGTGCTGAGAGTTGAGCTACAATTCTCTCTTTTTTTTTTAAATGATATTTATTAAAATTTCAAAAGAAAAAGATTACATTAATAAGAAAATTAACAATAAAAAAGAAAAATACAAAGTACAAAAAAGAAAAAACAGTTAAAAACAATTCCATCTTTTCATCACTTCTCTTACATTTACTTGTTTCCCGGACCTCCTCATACCTCCCTCTTTTGTATTCCAATTCAATTTGTTAGTCCAGCAATTCCTTTCCCTCCTTTTTAATCCTGATCTTTAATCTTAATATATTATAACATTAAATTTTTACGTATTAAAAACCAATTTTTCCATATTCTTTTATACCATTACAGCTAGAAACCACTTAACTTCAGTCCGACATCATTCTAACATTCATTAATTTTACAATATTTCTATAAGTAGTCTTTAAATTTCTTCCAATCTTCTTCCACCGACTCTTCTCCCTGATCTCGGATTCTGCCAGTCATTTCCGCCAATTCCATGTAGTCCATCATTTTCATCTGCCATTCCTCCAGTGTGGGTAGATCTTGTGTCTTCCAATGCTTTGCAATAAGTATTCTTGCTGCTGTTGTAGCATACATAAAGAAAGTTCTGTCCTTCTTTAACACCGATTGGCCGACTATGCCCAGGAGGAAGGCCTCTGGTTTCTTCAAGAAGGTATATTTAAATACCTTTTTTAATTCATTATAAATCATCTCCCAGAAAACCTTAATCCTTGGGCACGTCCACCAAAGGTGAAAGAATGTACCTTCAGTTTCTTTACATTTCCAACATTTGTTATCAGGCAAATGGTAGATTTTTGCAAGCTTGACTGGGGTTATGTACCACCTGTATATCATTTTCATAATATTGTCTCTTAGGGCATTACATGCTGTAAACTTCATACCTGTGGTCCACAACTGTTCCCAGTCAGCCATCATTATATTATGTCCAACGTCTTGTGCCCATTTAATCATAGCAGATTTCACCGTTTCATCCTGAGTATTCCATTTCAACAGCAAGTTATACATCTTTGACAAAATCTTAGTTTTGGGTTCTAACAATTCTGTTTCTAATTTTGATTTTTCAAGCCAATTTGGAAGCCAATTTTCTTGTCCAAATTGTATGCCTCCATTATCTGATAATAATGAAGCCAGTCTCGCACTTTGTTTTTTAGTTTTTCAAAACTCTGCAGTTTCAATCTATCTCCATCTTGTTCCAAAATTTCCCAATATTTCGGCCATTTGACCTCCATATTGAGCTTTTTTCAGAGCTTTCGCTTCCATCGGTGACAATTCTCAGAGAGGTTTAACCATCCATCCCTCTTCCCAAAGAACTCTGGAAATGAGAGGGAACTCTGGGAGGGGAATAGAGGTTTTCTAACAACTATTAGCACTCTTAAACAACCCCGTTGAACAGACTGGAGCTTCAGAGTTACCGGTAACAAGCATAGGAAGGTGTGTTCTGTCTTCAATGCTTAGTGTTGCTGCCATTGGCTCATTGGCTCAGCCGCCATCTTGGCAACATGAAGACATTTTTTCAGCTGAACATTTTCATGCTGCTCTTCGTAGGGCTTTCAGGACTCCCTGACTGCGGAATTCCCTCTCTTTGGACATATGCTCATCCCTCTTGTTGACATCTTTTTCATCATCTACTGACAACACATCTGTATGAGGCCTAGCAATATGATTTTGCTGCTGTTTGTTGATTGGACCTATATATTCTGTTGGTGGTGATTTTTATGATAGAGTATTGTGCTTTTTGTTGGTCTACTGTCATACCTCATGTTATGTTCACTTCAGGTTACGTGTTTTCGGGTTGCAGACCGCGGGAAACCTGGAAGTACCGGAACGGGTTACTTCCAGGTTTCACCACTCGCGTGTGCACAGAAGCACTAAATCACGCCTGCGCAGAAGCACCAAATCGTGCCAGCGCCTGCACAGACGCGAACACTGTGGGTTGCAGACGTGCCTCCATCATGGATTATGTCTGCAACCGGAGGTTCCAAAGTACTGCTAATACTTTGTTTGATATTTTATACTCACCTCCCTGAGAACTCTTCTTGAAGAGTGGTCTACAATTAACATTACTAATAATAAATAACAACAACCTTCAAGATCCCATCCATTTCTACGATTGCATAAAGCTGTTCTGTGGCCTTTATTTTGCAAACCACACACCTTCCTGGTGTAGGCTGCTTCTCCTTTTCTTCCTGGAGGGGTAATTGAGTCCTACGAATTGGCTATAGTGCTTTGGGATCTTTCTGACTGGTGTTATGTAAATGTAAACTGCTCACAGCAGAGCTCTGAACATGAAGCTTATAGTCACGACTCCTGTGGCACCTTTGCAGTTTTATGGCATGTACAATTTATATTCCTTCCTCGGCTCATTCGTGCATATCGGTGATGAGGCTGTCACTCTGCAATCTTCCCCCTCTGCCTTAGCTTCTTTATGGGGCAGACTGAGAGAGGAAACACCAATGTTCTTGTCGCCATTTTCAGAAGAGCAACTGTAATTCCCAGGAAATTATCAAAGGACCATCTCCCTCCCTGATTCCAGCCTTAGAAGCTTCTGCCCTAGCCAGCAATGCCACCAGAAAATAGCAATTAAGAATCACGTCCCAACTACGAGGGAATAGCAGCCTGGAGGATCTTGATAAATGTGATACTGCTAGAGCAATGTGCCTGAGTCACAAGGCTTCCATATTGTAATAAATTCACCTCCCTCCCTTCCCCAGAAAGAAAAACACTTCACATTTGAGAGTAAGGCTTCTGTGCTCCAAAAGCAATTGACGTACAACTTCTCCGAAAGGAAGTATCTGTTTGTGTCATTTAACAGACCAAGTCTACTCATCTCATTAGCCCTCCTTCCCTTCTTAGTTATTTACATGTTAAGTTAAATTTCTGAGCCCCTCCAGACTGGCGTTCTATTGCTGGCGTATTCTGTGATATGTTCTTGACACAGTAGTACTGCATTATTGGTGGAGTTATTCTGCTTTATACATTTAAAGCTGTATCAAACCACTTTTAGCAGTCATGGCTTCCCGGGGGTGGGGGGAATCCACTGTTAGGGTCAGAGGCAGTTTTAGGATAGCATGGCCAATGTGGCCACACTGGGCACCACACTGGGGGGGCGCCAGAGGTGGTGCGGCGCCGTATTTTAATGTCACACAGGGCATCCCTGAAATTTGAGAGCCCAAAGTCAGCCACTGTGATAAGAGTGCTGAGAGTTGTTAGGAAACCTCTGATTCCCCTCACAGAGCTAAAATTCTCAGACTGGTTTAACAGTGAATCCCTCTTCCCACAGATTAACTTCCTGCAGTTAATCAGGATGACAAGTCAAGACAGGCAATGTATTGGCAGCAGCTTCCAGCCTCCTTTCCTATGGTCAGGGGTGCCCAAACTTTTTTCAAAGAGGGCCAGATTTGTTGAAGTGATCATGCGTGAGGGCCGGCCAAAGAGTTGTTGCTTTTTTTAGGATTGAAGTTGTTGAGCTTTTTGGGATTTTACCCCAGGAAATAAACTGCCACAGTAACCGGATTAAACCGAAATAGGCCCCCAAAATGGATTTTGGACATGGCTCCTCCTGCTGGGTTGACTCTTCAGTTTGCTTGGCTGTGGCGGTAGCATAAGGTAGAAAGGCAAAGTCTAAGGAGTTTGTGGGATGGAGGTGGTGAGGTTTGTAGGTGAGGTTTGGTGAGGTCCAGGGGTGGGAGTGGTGAAGAAAGAAAGCGAGGACACAGCCTGTTATGTATTCAGTGGTCTGTGTCTGCCTGAGCTTGAGTCTGGACTAAGGATTCTGAGCCCCTGTGTTCTGATTCGATACATGATATCCAGTCACAGAACATTTCAGGATTTGGGCCACTGCCATTGGCCCTTAAACTCTGAGTTATGATTTGCAGTTTGGGAGCGTAGACAGCCAATCACGTTGGGAGTGGGAGTGGCCCAGGCCTTCAGAAATGTATATAAGCAGTTGCTTTGCCCCTGTTGTCCGATTCTGTTAGTTCAATAAAGGTTCTTGCGGTTATGACTGTGTTTTGCCTTGTGGGAACCCAGCTACACTTCACAGCCCCAGTATACAATATTTACTTTAAATGAATAGAATAGAATAGAATAGAATAGAATAGAATAGAATAGAATAATAGAATAGAAGCAATTAGCTTCTTTTTTTTAGAATCCTTCAGAGTTTAACAATTGTTCTTGGAACAACCAAAAGTAATGTAATGTGGGTCTGGATATTGACCTGGTGGGCTGGGAACAGGAGTGCA